TGAGACTCTCATCTTCAATTAACCGCCAGAAAACCAAAAGAAGTGGTGCTGTAGCTCTAAGTGGTAGAGTGCTAGTCTTGAGCAAAAAAGCTTAGAGACAGTGCCCAGGCCCTGAGTTTAAGGCCCATGACTAACAACCACCACCCAAAATTTTACCTACTTCCTGGCACTGGTGGCTCACACCTGTAATCCTAGGAGGCTGAGATCTGAGGATCATGGTTCAAAGCCAGCCCAGGCAGGAAAGTCCATGAGACTTATCTCCAATTAACTACAAGAAAACCAGACGTGGTGCTGTGGCTCAAGTGGTAGAGCCCTTGTCTTGAGTTGAGGAGCTCAGGGACAACAGCTAGGCCCAGAGTTCATGCCCCACAACCAACAAAAGACAAAAAAAAAAAAAATCTAAATAAGAACACACCCTCAAGCCTTGCTTTCCATTTAAGAAGTCAGAATAACCAGCATCTGTAGCCAAGAGTCCCACAAATTTCATTGAAGGCCGCTGGCGTATAAACAATTCTACAGCTCCATCAGTGATATACTGGCCCCCAGAAATATCGAGGGATACAACATCAGGCAGTACATCCTTCTGCTGTAGTAAATGAAAAGCTAGGTCTGATTTGAGCTGCCTGTGATTAGAAATATCGAGGTGAAGCAAACATTTCAGTTCTCTGATAACTTCAAGAATTTGTAATTTAGTCATGGTCAGGCATTTCATATTGTGCATTGTGAGAGACTTGAGCCGATCCTTACAGGTGATGAGTGCAGAGATGTTAGTGATCAGAGTATTGGAGATATCCAAGTATTGCAGCACTGGTAACTGAGAAATGTTAACCAGGTCTTCATTATAAAAGCTAATATTAGAAACACTTAAAATGCGAAGACCAGTGAGCTGACCAACAAACAGTAATCTTGAATTTTGAGGGACAGTTGTTGAATCTAACAGGAGACACCGGAGGTTTTGCTGGATCCATCTGTTGCTGCAGAGTGCATTTAAAATGTCTGGGACTGGGAGGTCAGAGTGCACTGCAGTGGCATCTACTTCAATGAGCTTATGATGGCAGAAGGCTCCTGTGAAGGTAGCTGGTGAGATTTTAGCTTTTTGGATACTGAGCACCTTCAAGTTCATTTGGTTGCCTTGGAAAATACTTGCTGTTCTGTCAGTCAGCTTGCCTGTAAGAGAAGCAAAAGCAGCTTGCAATGATAACTACATCTAATGCCTTTGAAGGCAAAAACTACCTGGGTGCTGGTGGCTCATGCCTGTAATCCTAGCTACTCAGGATCTGAGGATCATAGTTCAAAGCCAGCCAGGGCAGAAAAGTCTGTGACTTTTTTTGTGTGTCTGCCAGTCCCAGGGTTTAAACTCTACCACTTTGTGGGTTTTTTTGTTGTTTGTTTGTTTTTTTCCAGTCCTGGGGCCTGGGTGCTGTCCCTGAGCTTCTTTTGCTCAAGGCTAGAACTCTACCACTTAAGCCACAGTGCCACTTCTGCTTTTTCTACTTACTGAGGAACCGAACCCAGGGTTTCATAGATGTTAGACAAGCACTCTACCACCAAGCCACATTTCTAGCCCTCTGTGAGACTCATCTCCAATTAATATCAGAAAAAGCTGGAAGTGGTCCTATGGCTCAAGTGGTAGAACCCTAGC